GCAAACCTGCAGTTAGCCGCGCTGATGTAGATTGGGCCGACGCGGCTTTTGTAACTTTTGGAAAAAAAATTGGAAAGACTGTTTGGCAAAATGTCTATCACTCCAAATATGCATCTCCATTGTCATCTGAAAGACTGCATTCGCGACTACGGCCCTCTACATAGATTTTGGGGCTTGGCTATGCAGCTTTGAAAGGTACAACGGTTTGCTTGGTGCATATAAATGTGATGTCCACGGACGTCTGACCTCCTGCGTCACACCCTACCCCCACAAGCGTGGCCAGTAGCCTACCCTTTGGAATGGATATTTACTATTACTATACTATCATCAACTCGCATGCAGATCCCTTCACGACTACCATGACTTGTAGAGCAACGGAAAGCAAATCGTCATGCTTGATGCCAATTTTGAATTGGTAAAGAAAAGCAAGTTTTGGCAAGAGTTATGCAGAGGCTCATCATGGTGCCAGGATGTTTGCGGATGATGGGACCGTACAGGATTTCATGGCGACATAGTCTGATGCTACAAAACCTTCTGAGGTGATTGCTTCAAAACGTAGCTTTATGTCATGACAAGCACGAAACTCTCATTGTGCTGTGTAGATTGTATTACAGGTGATGCACTGGCTGGCATTACCATTCTATACTTGTCTTTAATATGATAGCAACTTCCAGGCTGGATCCAAGGTGCGGTCAAAGAACAACCAGAAGAAGCTTGATGTGAGTGGAGTATTTGGAGCTGCATGTAGACTTGAGGTGCCACTACTATTTGTCAATATGGCCCATGGCCCATTTCTGTCAAAGGTTAGAACAAACACCAACAGCCAACTCTCAGAAAAGGCGCTGTACAGAATGCCTCAATTGTGGAACACAGGCGACAACTAGCAACTTGAGTATTGGGCTGTAATTAATGTATTTAAAGAATTATGTTATTTTTGCTCCATACTGTTAACCTCTTATGAGGCTAATTGCGGATCTAAATAAAACTCAATAGCATCACCTTGGTCCTACGCAGCCCGCTGGCACTGTTGTGCCGACGGGACTTGCTAAGAAGCACATTTTTCATTTGCTTCATAAAGCTTTTCATTCATGCTTTTCTCGAAGTTGAACATAATTGTTTCTGTTACATGAATCTTTGTTATGGATCAACAGATTCAGAAAATAAGGAGGTCGCTGCAGCAAATCTAGGAGGCCATTGCACAGGGAGCTGCCACTCCAAACACAGTTGCTTCTGCTCCTGCCCCAGCTGGAAGTCCCCAGGAAGAAATGTTGCGGTAAATAAAGCCCATCATTTTGAACATGTGGTTGCAAGATCAATGCCACAGTGCGCCAGTCCTTTATTATTTTCTTTAAGGAGATGATTTTTGTGCCGTTTGTCTCTCAGTGTTTGATTGTTTGTGTGTCTGTGAACAGCATAACTCAGGAAGTCATGGATAAAATATGATGATATATGGCGTGTGAAAAGGTTGTCACCAAATTTGGAAATGATAAGATTTTGGGACCAAAGGGGCTTTCTTTGGAGACTGCAGGAATACTTAAAACGCCTGGCTCTTGTTCTCGTCATTTATAGGAGCTCTCATGGTCTATACGGTGCCAGGGGTAGGAGCATACCCAGTCGAGGGAGACAGGCATACCGGACAGGAAGACAGTCTTCCTCTTGTGACGACATGGAGGTTCAGTTTTTCCTCGTAGAGAAAGACTTAGACAAGACACCGCTCCCGTCAGAAGAGGATGGATATGTGGCTGCGGGGTTGGGACCGCAGACAGTGGCCATTAAAAGAACCATGGACCATAAACAGGTGAATCCCTTCCAGTTCAGCCATCAAAGTTACTATTTGCTACACATGTATCCATAGCTTTCTGTAACAGCTGCTTAAATTTTAGAATTTAATCATTGACAAGCTTATATATTCGGGTCATGCACTAGTTCAGGAAAGCAGAAAAGCGTATTTCGAGCCATGTTTTTCTTTTCGTCTTCTTTTTCCTCCGTATTAAAAGATGACCGCCTTCTACAGATCTAGGCCCAAGGAGCCCACCTTGACACAACTGAAGGAACTTTTAACTAGACGAAGCGACGACATGAGCATCTGTCGCATCTGTTCAGGATATGTGGACAAAGATGGATATGGCCCTGCCCCCGATCGGAGGAAAATACACGCTTCAAGTACACAGACTGGCGTACTTCCTACTGTCGGCAAAAATTCTGTGCAGATACATGTATGTCATTAGATGCACTGAATGTTAATCTTTTTTCAGCATCCGAGTTCAGGGCCTGGCTACTGTACTATTCAGTGCCAATAATGCAATTTTTCCTCTCAACGGAGCACTTTGACAACTACGTCCTGCTGGTCTCTGCAGTCCATACGTTCGTTGGTTGGGAGCAACATCACAGAACAGGACATCAGGACTGCAGGTGACAACCTGCGAGAATTTGTTTAACCCTAAACAGTACACCTGGGGTCCGCGCGGACCCCAGCACTATATATTGTGTAATATCTTTTTTGTTTCTAAAGATTTTTTTCTGAAATTTTAGGTAATTGTCACCCACAAAGTTGTCTCTCAACACAGTGCAGAAAACTCCGTTTCTACCATTTATAAAAAAAAATATATCTGATTTTCTTTTGGGGTCCGCGCGGACCCCAGCCGGCTTTCGATCATAATTGATACACTGGCGTTCTTATACATTACCTTATTTCCGTTTTTATATGTTTTTATGCACTCATCGTATGTCTACCAAGTTTTCAGAGCATGGTGTAGTAATAGAATTAAATTTTAATAACTTTGGTGTAATTCTAACGTCATATGACGTCAGAGCTAATAATATAGGCCGCCATATTGGATTTTGACCAATGACGTAATCAAATTAGCATATTCTATGCATATTAAATGATTTAACTTAAATTTAATTATGTAAGATGTTATTAATGTTAGAAAAGAAGTGTAATTTAATATAAAACTCTAAAAGTTTTTATGTTTAAACCAAAATTACTTCTATTTTCAAAAAAACTGCCTGCTAGAAACCTGTTGCCATGGCAACACAAAAAACATCAACTTACTAGTATTAAACTAATATGAACTTTTTTCCAGAGACATTTTAGGAAAGGTCTCCAAATTTGATACTTCTAGCGCAAGCCGTTTAGCCGCTATCTGAGATCAAAGTTGGGCCTCAAAAGCCCCTTCAGTCTGAAATGGGTTTAAAAATCGGGTATTTCTTCTTGTCTTCTTTTCTTCAACAAAAAATAGAAAAAGTTCAAAATGTATGATTTTTGTATGTAATGTGGACACAGAGGTTCCCACATCAGTTTGCAAAACAATTGAGCTGGTAGCATGTTGATAATTTCTAAAAATTAGCAAAAAACTGCTCTGGGGTCCGCGCGGACCCCAGGTGTACAGATTAATCAGTCCGGGAAGGTGTTCTGTTGAGGGTTAAGGTTTCACTCTGTGGTACATACGAACTTTATATTCTATTTTATTCTAGGTAGAAAATGGAATTGTATCTTTTATGTGGTCTTCCCTAGAGCAGAAGCGTACACAAGTAAATTATTTTACATTTTGACACTGCATTGCACACATGCGGAATGCCCTTTGTTTGAGGTTGAAATGCCCAAGATACTGTTGGCATTGTCTACAGAAAGTCAGGACTGTGCGGTCTGCGAAGGTCGCCGACGCAGAGGGCACACAACTTTCGACAGGACCAAGAAAATGGGTAGCGGCGAATACAAGATGGCAAAAAAGAACACGGAATCTTTATTGAAGCGCAGTGGGTTAGCTGTCGGCAAACAGTGCGCGGACAATGATAGCAAAAACCTGAAAGGTACGAACGACGCACTTAGCCAGGGTACGTCATGGCTGTCGCGATACTTGGTAATATGTTTAACTTTATAAGGCGGGTGGAGCTCAATATATGTTGCTTAAAACAGTGTGATCAGTGACTATTTTTGGCAGCTCCACCTTTGTCTACTTCTTGAGAAGACAACAAAAATAGTAAATACAGCTGTGAATATTTCATTTTCTTGTAAATAATGTTAAAGATAAAGCGCTGATTAGTTTTTGTCCAGTCTGACTTTATAAAACTTGTACGTTGATTTTTTTCAAACTTTTATTCATTCACAGTACAATTGGAACAAAACAAAGGTACATACATAATCGTACATATTATGGTACATAAAATGATGCATATGGAACAAAATGTGGATTTTATAACATGAAAGAAACTACATGTTAGGAAGACGCAATTCGATGCCATTTTGACATGTCAGAAAGGCAAGGATGTATTTCATCATCACAGACCAACATGCAGAAAACTCCTCACGAACTTCATACACAAAACCGTTGTGTACAAGGACCACGATAACTATTTTTGTGTAGGTTTGTGCTGCATTCGGGCACTTGGATAGTACCATATTTAGGTGAACCGATTCATTTAGTCTACCCTTCTGTGGACACGCTGACCAACATGATTCTCGCCAAAGTAAAAGGTTGTTTACTTTTTAAGACTGATCTGCGGCGAGCGTGTCTTTGTCCTTTGTCTTGGTTTGTGATTATTTGTGAACGACTTAAAACTTTCACTTTGACCGACAAAAACAATCCTTTAAATGTTACCCGTACTTTAGGGTTTTGTCACTGCAAAGATGTGAGAAAATTACACATTTTACTAATCACTATTCCATCCCTTCACCCTGACACTAGGCCAAGGACACCCACTACTGCGAATCATACAACAACGCAGTACTGGTGTATGTTGACAAGAGGGTCTGCTACCAACACGACAGTTACGATGAGGATGAACCTCGCAACACTGGACTGGGTAAATCAATGCTTCTTTGCTGTCTGCAGACAAATTTTGAACACATCCGTTGGCGTTGTGTTTGAACAAACCTAAAACTACATCCTCATCTTCATCTTATCTCTTCCACCGTGTGACACATGCCTGTGACAAAAGACGAAGAGAGGTCCTCCCAGAAACATGAGCTGGTGGGGACCGGGAGGCTGAATCAGCATTTTGACGGACTAGGTTTGTAAATAGGTTCTTTAATACATCTTATCCTTCACTGACGACAATGTAACAGTGTTAGCATAGCAATGGAACACATTGTTTGAATCATTAGTCTAGCTCAACCGTAGTAATAATGCTTTTACTGTGCCACTAACTTTATCATGTTATTCTCCTATGTTGAAACAGGCGTGCAGATTGTTGATCACGCGCACGACCGGAGTGCCGTGATCAACAAACTAATCCGGGAGAGGCCGCAGTACCCCGATGGCAGCAAGACGAACAACTCAAATGACACCTGGCACGGTAAGCTAACATCTACCACTCGTATACCTGGCAATGTGTCTATATATTCTGTGGTTAGATTTGCTTTTCTTACTTTCCTTAATCAGAAAAATAAACATGAAAAGGACAGAACTGCAGCACCTATGCCTATACCTTGACTGACAGTGATTGAAATTGGCAGTTCTTTTCTACTTAAAGTTACCAAATCTTCTTTGAGGAATATTTTATATTATGGTTTGCATTCAACTGGTTTTCCACATTGATACATGTCTTTATCAAATCTCAGGGGGGCAGGAAATAGTTCACTGTTGTGGCAATGAATACTATGTATTTTACATCCATTACAGCAACGAAGGCCATCGCAAGGAAATTCAAGAAAGTGTCCAGTGGAGCCAGGAGGAGCCAAGGAGTGACCTGGCACCCGCAGCTGGCAGATAAAGGTATTTTTCTGCAATATCGAACAATCAAAATTGCCGCAAGTAACTTGTCCCAATATGTAAAATGGCAATATGTAACTCGAAACATAATGTCCCATTGGGAACAGAGAATGAACATTAGACGAACCACTGGGAAAGGCCTTTGGAGAAAATACATTTACATGAATCTTATTTGTATAACATAGTAAATAAAAGCTGAAAAGAGTTAGTCTAAGAGGAAGAGCGGTCCTCCCAGAAACATGAGCTGGTGGGGGGACCGGGAGGCTGTATCAGCATTTTGACGGACTAGGTTTGTAAATAGGTTCTTTAATACATCTTATCCTTCACTGACGACAATGTAACAGTGTTAGCATAGCAATAGAACACATTGTTTGAATCATTAGTCTAACTTAACCGTAGCAATGCTTTTACTAATAAAAGCTGTGCCACTAACTTTATCATGTTATTTTCCTAGGAAACAGGCGTGCAGATTGTTGACCACGCCCATGACCGCAGTGCTATGATCAACAAGCTAATCCGGGAGAGGCCACAGTACGCAGATGAAACCAAGAGGCAAGACCAATAATTCAAACGATCTTCTAAGCATAATCCCCGCCAGTGGCTTAAGTCCCGGTATGAGCTTGCGACCAGAATATGAGACTCAGGGATTGTCTTACTGGTGCAAACACTGCCAGCCCAGTACAAATACCAGCGCACGAACTTCGAACGACGAAACAAACTCTACCGTGCGCTCAGTGGACTGCTAATCTACGTAAGTAAAAAAATTCCGTCATACGTATGGTTAAAATAATATTTGAAGAGTTCATTGTTACACTTTATGTTTTGGCATATTGTTACGTTGCGAAGATGGAGAACTTAATACTTTGTGTATGTTACAGAAACAAAAATGTACTGACCAGCGAGGATAAGTGTATTTGTTTATAATTATTTTGCCAGTGATTGGCCGGTCCATTTTTCATACCGTTACTGTTAAATTATACCAAAAACTGATGCGTGTATGTGTCGATGCTTATCCCTAAACAATTTTTTTTGGGACTTGTAGGGACTCAGCCGTGCCCCTCCCAACACGTACATCGTGTTCAGCGACGAGCTGAAAGAGATTGTGAGATGTACAATAACACCGAGATTGTATCAGAAAGAGAGACAGATCTGAAAATGACCAATCCTAAGACTGGGCAGAAGCATGTGGTGAAGCTTGCTGTCTATACCCCATACCACCACACCACCGGAGGGCACCAACAGACGTACAGCGAACCGTTCGATGCTGAGACGTGCCCATTAGACGTCAGTTCAGAAACGATGACGCCGGCGGACAAGATCTCTGCGGCGGCCTGTTCCCATGTTCTATACCTGACATGGCAAGGTAAATAATCTTATCACTCTTTCAATTTTTTTTGTCTGTAGAGTTCTTACATTTTGCAACTTTTTCAGTTACTAACTGTATTGTAGCCGTTATTGTAACAATATGATAATACCTTCCTCATAAATCTTCCTCATAAAGTCTTTGGGAGAGGAAAGCAAATGAATAATTAAAGTAACAGATGTGAACAGAACACTCAGGTATTCCAACATGCCTCCCAACCATGTCGCCATCAAGGTGTCTGGGAATGGGGACCGCCTTTTCAAATTACTGGCAATGAAAAGGAGGCACCAGCACCTACGGTGCCATCCACTGAACATCTCATTGATCAGATACCTATATCGTATTGTGGTAACAAAATAACATCATATGCACCAACTTACTCACATGGCATGTAAAAATATGTAAAAAAAAAATCAGCAGACAAAATGACTAAGGAAGCCTGGAAGTGAGTGTAGATGCAAGTTAAAATCTGACTCACCACCTGTACTGTTTCTGTTCTGTAGAAGTATCATCAACCACCCAACCAACGCAACCACCCATCCACACACCCACTAACCAACCATTAGATGTGTTATTTCATTTAAAAAAAAACAAACAGGAACTTTGAGAACCCGGACATATCAAGAGAGACTGCCCGAACTCCAGCGGAGGGAATAACGATAGCGCTCCCCGTAGGTCTAGCTATGATAGTAGCCGCACTCAGTCTGCTAACCCCCCAAACTAGGTACGCCCGCCGCCGGGGGACCAGGTAGGCGGGGGGAGATGTCGGAGAAGGTGACATGTAGGTCCTGTCGTATTAGCTGAATTAAACATTTTAGCTGAATTTAACATTTTAGTAAGTTAAAATAATGTATCATATCATATGTGTACATGCAACACATCTTTTTGCATTCTTTCAACAGTACATAGCAGATGGTGTAGACAATGTGGGTGCCGCCCAGCTGGCCAGATAATGATGCACAGTGTTTCCACACCTGACACTGTTGCATCCTGCAAACACTGTTGCATCCTGCAAACGGCATACCATCCAAGCCGAAGTGAGAGCAACAGTAGAGATGGGCACATTCTCAGGTATGTGTTTTCGAAACTCCGCTGTAATCAGAACCAAGCCCGACAACAACGCCTCCCCGGTCACCGTCTCCCAACCACCAAGAAGCGAAAAAGGCCAGCCAAGAAAACTACGGGTACTAGATTTTGGAAGTACTAGTATTACAATTTGAAGGTAGGTTTAAGGCTGTACACTATCCCGGTTTTTTTCTAGCACAGTACATAGCAGATGGCGTTGACAATGTGGGTGCCGCCCAGATGATGATGCACAGTGTTTCCACACCTGACACTGTTGCATCCTGCAAAGGAACGACGGCTAAAGACACCATAAGGCATACCATCCAAGCCGAAGTAAGAGCAACAGTAGAGATGGGCACGTTCTCAGGTATGTGTTATCAGAATGCAGTAAAGGATGAGCTGTCAACCATGTTGGAAGAAATGATTGAGACGTTCTCCACATGTCTCGAAGCCCCACTCAGAAGCCCCCTAAAAGAAAACGCCGGGGACGACTGACAACTACATGGTCAGTACAAACATGATGGTAGTGATACACAAAGATGAAAAACATGCAGAAGACAACTATGAAAGGAGAAAACGATTTTGGATATTTCTCCAGATTTCAAAACCATCTATCAGCAATAGGGCACGCACACGGGTGTGAGACGCTAGAAAGTGTGAGGACTGTGGCACGACACGACGAACATTCGGGCAGTTGAAAGCGCACATCATGATACACACGGGTGAGGACCCGCAAAGTTCAAAATGGACAAAACGGGCGAGGTGTGACAAGTTGTCGGTGGAAAACCCACGAGGCCATGCTTTCGACCACCTGGAGAAAAAGACGAGAATTTCAAAGTGTCACCGACCACCTGACGGAAAGACTGGATGGCACTGAGGTCCACCGTTCAGCAGCCAAGATCGTGGACCCCCGTGAGTGGCCTGTGGATGACACCCTGGCAGGGTATGGGTTCGAGCACCTCCGCACCCTCGTCGCCCACTTCCAGCCTGTGCTGGCCAGGAATGGGTTTGAGGAGGACGCCCTGCGACGGGAGTGGGCTGCAATCAAGGCCCACATGCGCCGCCAGCCGAGGGGCCAGCTTGGGCAGATGTGGGAGAATATCTTCCTCGATGCCCAGCTGAGGGAAGAGTTCTCCAACGTTTTACATCTAATTGAAATCATTCTGGTCTTCCCCCTAGCTACTGCTGCTGTGGAGCGGGGGTTCAGCTAATCTCCAAGCAGATCATACGGTGGCAAGGCAGTATCCATTGGC